ATATTGTATATGAAACGTTATTAAATCGTGAAATTTATCGTCCGGGTGATGCAATACTTTTGAGCGCCACTGTATATCATTAAACAATATAAATTGACAACTCCAATATATTAATATATCAAATATCTGTTTTGATATGCATCAATGACTCTGATATATATTGATATATAACTAATGATAAAAATTGATACAAATCACCCCAAAAAATTTCCTGATGAACTTATATGCATATTCTGCCGGAAAAAAACTAACGCAGCCAGTAGCTATTAAGTGTTCTAAGTCATCCCGATTTTAGCAAGATAACCTCTCGTTACATTTATACAAAATATAAGAATAGGTTTATATTTTTAGCTTTCAACGCCCAACATTGAATGTATCACAAATATTTAATTTTTTTCTTTCTCTTACGCATTAACAGTAGTAATAAATATTTATAGGTTGTTATATTTTAACTACGTGCATCTATCAATTTATAGAAGAGCACCTGTAATAACTTTTCCCGCATGTATTTTAATTTCTGCAGAGAACAGTATCTCTTGTTGCCTTTCTTGACAACGAAACAATGCACAAATAACGTGCTAATCCTTTACAATTATCTTATTGTCACAAAGACACAAATAAATTAAATCGTTTGGCGTATTATAAATGCGTTTAGGATTGAATACAAATTTCAAATATATAAGACAATAATTTATTCATCTTGTCACCAACAACTAAAGACTCGAACCGTCATCTAACTCACAAAATAATTGAAGTTTTTTAACCATGAGTACTGACGCAATCAAAGTGAATTTTAATTGCGAATTTGAAGTTCATAAAAAACTTCTCGAACCACAAAACGAAAATAAAAGCAACAAAGTATTATAAGAGATTGTCTTGAGGATAAGCAAAAACCCACGAGTCCACATAGTCATCGAAACGATTTGAAAAATTGTGCTATTTTTCAAATCGACGTCAATCATTCGATTTCGCTTATCGATATTGTGAATGAGCAAAATCATTCCATTCTTATTAATGATGACTCATCGATCTAGAGAAGAATCAGCCTACATTTCTTCAGCCAGGTAATGTTAACACTTACAACGTGGAAGACGATGGCGTTTTTGAGGAGTCAAGTGAATTGGATGGAATCTTTCATTGGGATTTCGTCAATGGTGCACTGTCGCTCTCGTTTATGGATCATATTTGATTTTTATAATGCAATTCATTCTGCCTTCTTATTCTCTTAATCCATTCAAAATTTAACTCCACAAATTATGCCACAATTTTCTTAATAAATTAATAACAATGTATAGGAATCGGGTAAGCCAATCTTTTTATTAAAATTTACTTTAAATATGCGTATTCTCCCTTCATTTATTATTTATGTATTATATTTTCTTTTAGCATCAAATAAGCTCTTTATCTTGAAAGTATATAGCAATATTTTGACGGAATAAAAATTTTCCACATCCAATTAATATCGTCATCGAAATTATGAATAGATCTGCATTCACTGAGCAAAGTTTGTTCAGAAGTGCAAGTATGATAGCGTTCATGGTCAAATAAGTATATTATTAATGGAAGGCAATTTATAATAACAAACTTCCGTCAGCCACAATCACCATGGCAGCAAAATCTTATTTCAAAATCGAAACTCTATTTTCGATGATTCATTTATAGATCATGTTTGATATCGATATAGCTTTTGACTTTATTAATAAGATTTATATAGTTTCGACAATTTCCTGTCAAAGCCGTAAGAGTTACGTCAGACAACTGTACCAATAGCATACATGTATACGGCACTGTATTCATGATACAGAATACGCATATTTCTTTCTACAATGAACAATACTGATAGAGAACTTTTAAGAAATGCTCTGTTTACAACAAGTTGCTATTTTATATAGCCAATTCAAGATTCTTCACTACAGGCAAGGCTAGGCTATTTATCAAAATTTTTCCAATACTCATTTCTCCATTTAAAATCTATTGTCGTTATATCATGAGACTTAAAAAGATGGCAAACTTTCAATTATTTCAAAATTCTTTGCAAGTTAATATGTATCGTTATAAAACTGACAAAGATATACATACAGTGGCGACCAAAAGTAATGACTCAGGGGCTAAATTTACTAATAAAACATAGTGAAAATAAAAATTATTTCTTATTAAAATTATAAATTTTAATATAGAGAAAAAATTTCAATTTTCACTATGTTTTATTAGTAAATTTAGCCCCTGAGTCATTATTTTTGGTCGCCACTGTATGGCTAATAAAATTTTATGAAAAATGAATCTTAACTGGATGTGCTACTATTATAATTTTTAACAATTTAATTCGATCTATTATGCTGTATAATTGATTGTTGAATATCGATATCATATTGTTATCGTTTATTCTTTTGTATACATGTGCACAGGATACATGTACATGTGCATGTAACTGGGTAGCGGTCATGTGATTTTAAGGGTAAACTAATCAAATCGCAAGATATGAAAGAATTAGGAATTAGGGTTAGTGTTAGGTGGTATATGTAGTTAAGACTACATGTAGTAAAATTTTTTTTGCATTTTTGGTTAGAACAAAGTAGATTCATAGACAAACGTGATATGATGGTAGATTTACTAACAAATTCTCGATATAGTGGATTTTTGAATTTTTACTGTATACAAAACTCCCCGGCAGCGGAAAATGGAGAGTTCTGTTCGCTATTTAAACACTTGTTTTGAATTTGTCCGTTACACATTGACCTTGTTTACCACTTAGAAATCACATGAACCGACATCATTGAAATTACACGAGCTAAAAAAGAACATGCAACTGTAAAAAAATATGAAAAAGATTATCGCTAACAATAATCCATCAACAAACTTTTATTCTTAAACATTTGATGTTAAATAAAATACATGTACATTTTGTTAATAAAGATAATAACAATATTATTTATCCTCATAATGCTCTGTTAAATAAGTAAAAAAGGGTAAGCTTGAAGGTGATCTATCATAGATGCAACACAAAAAATAATTGACTCACGAGTATATAATTTTTCTGCTGCATCTCTTGCATGTTTTTCGGCTTTCCTTTTATCAAGAAAATCTAATCCTTTAGTTTCAAATAATTTTTCTGCTTCAGCAGCAGCGAGAGCGGCAATAAGCTATATAACAATAACGGAAGCGATCAGAAAAATTTATTTGACGCAAATGCTAATTGAGAATTGATAATTACCTCTTTAGCCAAAGCATGATTGTCTTTTTTGCCTTCCTTCTCTCTTTTTTTCTCGTATGCTCTAAAAGCAGCAAATGCTGCAGCGCCAGCCACAGCTTCATGTGACAATTTGGCTTTATGAGTTTTGCCGCCATACACTTCTTCGTGATGTCGTTCACCAGTACTGCGGTCATAAGAATGAACGAAGTCGTTGTCTATGTACATACAATAATGTTATTATTTTACATTCAATAGTTCGATCACCAATGAATTGATTCCAACCTGACATATTTGATAATGTTTCACTGTTGTTAAAGAAATAGAAAATTGGAAAAAAAGACGAGAAAAATATGGTTTTTCATTGGGTCCTTTTATAAGTGTGCCAAGAACCAACTAGTTTATTTTATTTGTATCACATAAACGCTTTCTTTGTTCAATGACGGCAACTGTGTGAAATTTTTTGTGCATCACGATCATACATGCATCGCTCGATTTATTTTTAACGGGTTTTAGCTTGAAAAGGACAATTAATAACATCACTGGTGGTAACGGGAAAATTTAACGAAACATTTGTAGATCGTTTGAAAAATGGGCATTACATGTAGTGGTAGTATCTAAAAATTTGCGAAAAACTCGGTTCCCAGATAATAATCAACCAATAAGAATCAGCAAATCATATGTGAACCGGCAAAGTGAGTTTATCATTAAGTTCCAAGCTAAATTTTAATGTATTTTCACATTTTTTTGCACTCATTCTTATTGGTTTGTTAAGTGCATGTGGTCAGGAACCTCTACGCAACGTTAACGTTAAACGCGATAACTAATAAAAATTCAATCAACTTGATTTTCAATTTGGACCCCGAACTTTAGAAGAAAATACAAATTTGATTATATTTTGATCTGAATTATGAATCTGAAGTTAATTAATCAAACATATTCTGTTTTAGATAATAATGTTAATAATATTTTTATTAATAATTTAGAATTTTTATTTAATAATAAAGATAATTAATAATTTTTTTATATTAATTAAATATTAATTAATTACATAATTAAATTTTTAGTTAATTAATATTTGATTAGTTAAAAAACTTGGCCATGTCAAAAAATTTTCTTGGTCATTTGGCCAGAGTTTGACTGGTTAAATAGTCATGATTAATTCTGATCAAATGGTTAATTATCAATCCTTTATATTATAAATTTGGAATTAAATTTTAGAGAATTACTTATTTTTGAATACTTTCGTGATTTATATAATAAAAAATCTGAATTATTAATATAAAAATTTAATAACTTTAAGATGTGATATCTAAATATTTTTATTTGAATAGTTAATATCAAAATATAATGTTACAAAGTTATTGAATTTTTATATAAAGAGATTATTCACTCAAATATTTCAAGACTTTTAATTAAAATAGAAAAAGTTGCTTATTTTAAAGATTACTTATTTTTAGAATTATATTACAAAATAAAGAATATAATAAAATTTTAATAATTTCTTAAATATATATAATTAGTAATAAAAAAACTTAAAAAAAATAATATTAATATTAAATTATAATAAATTTAAAAAATTATATTAAAAATTAATTAGAAAACTTCTATTATAAAATTTGCTAATTAAAAATATTATATAAAAAATTTCATTTTTGCTTTTCTTTATTATATAATAAAAATTTATTAAATATTTATTAAAATTTTATTAAAAATTTCTTATAATCTAATAAATAAACTTAAAAATAAATATAAACTAATTATTAAAAAATTTTCAAATAATATTTTGTCAAATTTTTTAAAAAAATAAATTTTTTGAATTTTAATTTAAATTTATAAAAAATATTAATAAGATTTTATTATTTTTTATTTATAAATCTTAAAAACTTAATTATTTTTTAAAATTAATAAAAAATAATTTTTATTTAAATAATAAAAAATAATTTTTATTTAAATAATAAAAATAATTTATATATATTTTTTATTATTAATTATAAATCAATTTTAAAAAATATTTAAGTTTTTGTTATTAATTATAAATTAATTTTAAATAATTTATTTAAAATATTACATAAAATTATTAAAATATTTTTTATTAAACTTATATTTTTTAATATTAAAATATAATATTAGAAATTATAAAATTTTATTAAAGATTTAATTTTAATATATAATTTTTATAAAAAATAATAATATTATTTTTATATATATTTTATATAATATAAATATCTAGTTTTAATATATAAAATATATTATTATTCATTTTTATTTCTTGAATAATAAAAATAATAGTTATTTAGATATTTGTATTTTCATATTTATATTTTCATATAATTCTTTTCTATATAAGAATTTTTAATAGAAATTTATATATATTATTATTATTTTCAAATTTCTTAACACTTATATCTCTTTTTATATTTTTAATTTCAATAATATTAATAATATAATTATAAGATTTTGTTATTATATAAAAGATTGATAATATTATTAAAAAATTATTATTATTAATAGATATAATATTAATATATAAATAAATATATATATATAAAGATTTATATAAGTTTATAAATATTATATATATATTAAGTATATAAATTTATATATAATTAATATTTTGATTTTAATAAAGTTTTAGTCTTTTTTATTATTATTAAAATTATAATCTTCTTGTTATATAATATAATTTGACAAGAATTTATATAAAAAAGTAAGTTAAAAATAAATAATTTTGATTTAATTATATAAACTTATATTTATTTTATTAAAATTAAATAAAATTATAAATTATAAAATAAAATTAAAGTTTTTTTAAATAATAATTTATATATAAATTATTAATCATTATTTTTTTAATTAAGATTATTCTAGATATAAGTATTTATTTTAAATTATCAAAAATATATATTTTTACTAATAATAATAATATTAAAAGAGTTTTTAAAATATCAAAAATATATATTTTTACTAATAATGATAATATTAAAAGAGTTTTTAAAATATATTAACAAGAATATACTTTTCTATTAAGTTTTATTAAAGATTTATATTAAAAATAAATAATAATAATATTTATAGTATGATTAGCTAGAATATAATTTAATTTTAAATATAAAAATATAATAAATAATTTATAAATAAAATAAAAATAATAAATTTTAATAAGATTTATTTTATAAGAGATATTTTTTAGAATTTTTTTAATTAAAACTTAATTTAACTAATTAACTAACTATAAAACTATTCTTTTTACTAGCTAAAATATATTAATTTTATATATTTTAAAGATTTTATAAATAATATTTTTATTATAATACTTATATTACTTTTATTATAATAAATTATATTTTCTTTTGCAAATTATTACTGTGTTATATACTATATCATCTATGATATTATCCCAAAAATTATTTTATTTTGTTAAGAAAATTATACAATATATTTGAGTTATTTTAGCTATAGATAGTTTTCTTAGTAGAATTTCTCTTTTCTCTTGTTCTACTAATTTAGCTAATATATTACTAAATTTATATATTTTATTTAT